GCCCGGGGTTTAGTCTTGCCCGTCCTCGAGCCCCCCGCGCTCTATTTGTGCGTGGTGCTACATTTTCTTGTCCTCGCCTTGATCGGCGCTCGAAATCTGTCGATGCCTTTGAGCTCTGGCTCGCGGGGCACTCGCGCGCTGCCCCGGCCGCGCGCTGCCGCGGTGGGCAACTGCACTCTCCGTTTCTCACCATCTGTGGGTGCGTGGCTTCACTATGCGGGCTTCCCGCCTTGCATCCTGGATCGTGCCGTTCTGGGCGTCCAAGCTGAGTGCCCTCATTGGCGTGCTTCCCTTTCGGAAGACTGGGGTGCGGCCGAGCAGTGGTGATTTGCCGAGCCCCCCGCGCTCCGCCTGCCGCTGCTCCGTGCTTTCCTTCGGGCGATGGTTGGCCTCGGTCTGCTCTGAGGCTGGTTCCTCATGGCTGCGCTGCTGCTGGTGGGCCTCGCCCGCCAGCAGCAGCCCGGGTGAACTGCTGGTCGCCCGCCATTTTGACCTCCCGCTTCCTGGCGATCGTTGGGCAGCCGGCGACGATGCTTTTCTTGCCGCGGAGGCGCCGAAGACCCGCCGTGCCTATCCGACGCAGCGTGCTCGCTGCTCCGATAGGTCGTCGGTGATGGCCTGGGATTTGGTACTCCAGCGTTTGTGCTCCGCAGATCCGCCTTCGGCCTTCGGGCAAAGCGGCATCTGTGCTCGGCGGAACCGTTTGCAATCGGCCATGGGCGTTGAGGCGGCCTGCGGGCTGAACCTCGCGCCTGCTTGTTTGCGAGGTTCTGGGGCGACAGATTTCCGCATGGCCACGGAAGACGTTCCTCGCGTCTTCTGTCGTGGCCGCTGGTGCCAGGCCTCCAGCGCTAAGCGCTATCTCTAGGCCGCCGCCGCCTCGTCTGTTCTGCCCGGCCCTCCTGCTTTAGCTCGTGCGCGCGATGCGTACTTCGCTGCTGCTAGCAACAGCCTTGTCGCTTCTTTTCTTGCTGTTGGCCCCTCTGCGTGGTCAACGCAAGTTGCGGCCGCCCGCCATGACCTTGTCACAGCGCATGGGCTTTGGGCCTGGGCATGGTTGCTGACGCCTTCCAGCGTCCAGACGATGTGCTTCGCCTGAGCGGCGTTGTTCGGCCCTCGTGCGCCTGGGGGGGGCCCTGGCCTCTTGCGGGCCACCCCCCGCGCGCGTCGGCCCCGGTCCCGCGCGCTCCGACGACCGCTTGCTTGCGCGGGAGCGGGGGAATGCTTTCTCTTGCTTTCCTCTCTCCCTGCGCTCCGCGGCCGTTGCAGCTGTTTCCCCCCCCGCCCTTTCCCTCCTTTTCTTCGCCGAGGCTGGCCGCTGCTGGCGCCCTCCGGTGTCCCGGCGATGTATTCCGCTTGAGCGGCGGCGATCGCCCTTCGCTCGCCAGGGGGGGGCCCTGACCTCTTGTGGGCCCCCCCCGCGTGCGTCGGCCCCGGCCCCGCGCGCCCCGATTGCCGCGTGTTTGCGCGGGAGCGGGATAATCATCGTCGTCATCATCATCATCATCATCATCATAATCATCATCGTCCTCATCTGCTGCATTCGCATCATCATTATCACCGCCGCCACCGTCAATACTTCCCGTATCATCATCATCATCATCATCATCATCATCATCATCATCATCATCAACATCATCTTCAACATCAACATCGCCATCATCATCACCATTCCATCCCCAATTCGACTATTAGCGCCATCAACGCCAACACCCTCGCCCATACAATCACCATCATCATCAACACCAGCATCACCAACATTTACAGTATCATCATAATTACACTCGTCACTACGATCATTATCATGATCATCATCATCGCCACCGCCTCCATCATCAACACCATCATCACCACCACTACCAGCATCACTATCGTCATCACCATTTTCCACACCTTAATCTTCTTTCATTCCAGAAAATGTAAAGTCCGGTCGCGGTGGATTCGCTTCGGTGAATACCCATGGTGGGTCTCTCAGGGATAAGTGGTACAAGCTGTCTACTCCTGCGCGGGGGCGGGGCTATCAGGCTGCTTTGGGAATCGGTTTCAGATGTTCACTGTATTTGGCACGGGCATCAGATAGAGCAACTGTCATGTTAGCCAACATCCCCCAAACAGTGTTTACGTTGAAGGGGTCCTAGTGGACATAGAAAGTATTGGCGAGAGTAGTCGGCCGATTCCGGTGGGCGGCTGTCGGTGGGCGCCCCTTTTTTATTTCTCTTTTTTGTTTTCATGATGCTGATGTTTTTTTTTTTCTGGGCCGTTGTGGGGACGTGTTGTGGCCCTTGGGAGTTGTCGATGGGGCCCTCTCAAGCCGTGGAGGGTACCTCCGGAGGCCCGCCTGGGTCATCTTGGGCCCCTCGTGCGCTGTCCCCGGGCAATATTGGAGACTTCACAGGCTATTTTGAGCCGATGGATGCCCGAAATGGCGAGGATGCCAAAAGCTTTCCAACACGCAAGGGCAATCAATGAGTTAGCCTCTTAGGGCCCTTTTGCGAAGCTGCGGCCGGGCATGGTGCTTGCAAAACTTTCGGACCATCCGCTGATTGGGTGTTTTCCGGTGTAATGTTCAAGCCTCAATTGGGTGCCAAGTTGATCGCGTCCACTGTAATTTTTTGGCGTGGATTGCCAAACAGCTCGGGGCTGGGAAATGATGCCGCTTGGTGTCGCCGCCGACACAATATCAAACGATGCTCCTCTGGGCTCCCACGGCGGCTTCGGCACGTGGCTTGCTTCCGAGCGGTCCGCGAGGGAGTTGCCACGGTGTGCTTTCAGCATGATGCCCCCAAGCCGTTCTGCCACAAGATCAACTGCCTGGTGCACACACATGCTTTCACGCAGGCTCTTGGCCTCGGGATGGGGCGCCCGCAGTTTTCACGAAGGACTACGGCCCTGGCAGCGCGGAGCTCCAGGCCGCCACCCTCTGCAGCTCGGCCCTTTCCCTGGCTCCGGCGCTTGCCTTCCGCCGCCGCCAGACTTTTCGGCTCTGCCCCGCCCGCCCGCCGTCCCCGGCCCCAGTGCCCGCCCTCCGCTGCCGCTAGCTCCCCTGGGTCGGCCCTGTCCGCGACTGCTCGCCGCTGCCGCTGGCTTCCGCGATTCGGCCCCGTTCGTGGTTGTGTCTCTGGCCGAGTTCCTTGGCTCCCGCTACCGTCAATGCCCTGGTGCTTGCCTTTCGCTGCCCTCGATTTTCGTGGCTCGGTCCTATCCCTGGCCAGCAAGGCAATCACCAGACCAGGACCGAATCACGGAAAGTGGTGGCAGCAGAAGTTGGGGACAGTGCTGAACCAGGGAAGTTGGCGGCAGCGGAAGGTGGGGACAGTGCCGAACCACGGAAATCGACGGCAGCAAGGGGCACGTCAGAGTTCGGTCGGCCAAGATACATCCCGATTAGCATGTCGTGAGCCGCGATGAGTGTTGGCCAGTTCCGCCTGGCCGCTTGCCTCGGGCTGCCAGGACTTCGCTTGTACAGGGCAAACCGCGACTACTTCTTGGCAGCTAAGGATACTCGTGGCCAGCTCCGACTGGCTCCTGGAAATTCTCTGGCCAAGACTGGTCCCAAGTATCCCCGACCAGCACCGAGTGGAAGAGTGCGGCCTGGGCTCGCCTCGACTAGCCTCGACTGGTCGTGTTCTCTGGGCTGCCAGGGGTTCGGCTGGCCAAGGCTGGCCCGATTAGCCTCGACTAGCTGGTTGTTTTGGCGGGAGTTCAGCTGGCGAAGGCTACCCCCCAATCAGCCCGTGGGCTACTGGGAAATCCCGCCCCCCCAAACAAAACGGTTCTGAGTGTGTTGTAGTCTTTCGAGCCGCAGTTGTTCAGGAAGCGGAGTGGAATGCCAGTTCTTTCTGCCCGCGTGTCCCGCAGTCCGCGATGGTCACACCGAACGGGGGTCCGATTGTTTGCGCCGCTCCGTTCAGAAGACCGTTTGAGCATTACTCCAGATTTCGTAATGAAAGGGAGGGGGTCTGGACCCTCCAAGACAAGCCATTTCAGACCTCCCCCCGTGGGAGAACCCTCCGAAACATCGATCCAAGTCCATTGGCCCACACGTGGCATCCACAAGTCTTGGGCTCTCGAGGAGGAGGAGGAGGAGGAGGAGGAGGAGGAGGAGGAGGAGGAGGAGGAGGAGGAGGAGGAGGCTAGCAGGGTCACTGCCGCGGGGGGGGGGGGGGAGGGATCTGGGTCGGGGGCGGCGCTCTCGTGCTGGAGGCCCCCGGCCGCCTGGTGCTGGGGCAGGTGAACGTTCCGGCGGAAGCACAGCCCAGGGGGCCGACCGACCGTCGACCTCATGGGCACCTTTGTGCAGTGAGATCTCATTGAGCGCAGCCCCAGGCAGTATCGCATTGCGTGGTAACTTTCACACAAAAGAAATAATGGGTGGGCGGGGGGGAAGCTCTGTAAACGGTTGTTGAGTACAACACGAGCGCACAGAATTCTTAAATGAACACATTAGCATGCAGGCCCGAAACGTTTCCAGGGCAACTGCAGGAGAGGAGGCGAGCAGCAGAGAGCTTCTCCTCTGTCGACCCTCCAGCGTACGGGCCACAGTGCGACCCCTTGTGGAGCTGTGGGAGGGCGGGGCGGCCAAGTCGGGTGTTCCTTCCGCGGCGAGGTGCGAGTTTTGGGCGCCAGTCACAGGTGAGCGGAACGGCCCCTGCGATGGCGGCGGTGGATGCTGGCGGTTGCAGGTTTCCCGTTTGCCCGCACGGTCCCGGGGCGTGAACGTTCAGAGCAATGACGCCAACGTGAACATGTTTGCGTAGATAAGGCGTTCCGTACAGGTTCCCGCCTGCGGCGCGTGCCGCCCTCGGCGAAAGCCGGCTGAAGGTCGGTGGAAACGGGTGAAGGTAATACATGGCCGGCTCCACAGGCGGAGGCCAGCGGAAGGCTGGCGAAAGCCGTCAGAACTAAAAGTGAGACGTTATTTGTTAGGATCCAGGGCGGGTGGAGTCAGTCGCATGCTTTGTTTTCCGGCCTGAGCCACGCGTTGTGGCAGCTTGGAACAGTTTTCACTCGACTGGAGCATTTCGTCTCAAGGTTCCGCCACATGTGCTACAGTAACCACTGATTCGCCACAATGGCAGCTTCGTTGCGCACAGCACAGAGAACTCACACGTGTGGTGAGTTGCGTGCAGCTGATGTCGGGCTCCAGGTCACGCTGTCAGGATGGGTGCAGCAGTCCCGCGATATGAATCACTTCAGCTTTGTCGACATCCGGGACCGATTTGGTATCACCCAGGTCATCTTCCCTAAAGATGATGCGGACGAAGCTGGCCTCGCTAGATACGAGGCATCGAAGAAGCTTGGACGTGAGTTCGTCATCAAGATCAGTGGAAAAGTTGTTGAGCGAAGCAACAAGAACAAGAACCGCGACACTGGCGATATCGAGGTGGTCGCCGACAGCCTCGAAGTTTTGAATTCGAGCTCAACGCCGCCTTTTAAGATCGAGGATGTCACCGATGCTCAGGAAGACACGCGAATGCGCTTTCGGTACCTCGACATCAGGCGTAATCCGATCAAGGACGCGCTGCTCTTGCGCAATAAGGTGACTCGCCTGGTGCGCAACTACTTGGGCGATGCGGAGTTCTGCGAGGTGGAGACACCAGTTCTCATTAAGTCCACACCAGAAGGTGCGCGCGACTTTGTCGTGCCTTCCCGCATGAACCCAGGCCAGTTCTACGCGTTGCCGCAGTCTCCGCAAACCTTCAAGCAATTGCTCATGGTCGGTGGCCTAGATCGCTACTTCCAGATTGTGAAGTGCTTCAGAGATGAGGAGCTTCGAGCTGATCGACAACCTGAGTTCACGCAGATCGATTGTGAGATGTCATTCGTCTCTCAGGATGACGTCTTGAGCATGTTCGAAGGTTTGGTCCGCCACATTTTCAAGGAAGTCGTGGGTCATGAGTTCCCGCCTTTCGAGCGCATGGAATACAGTGAAGCCATGGACCGCTTCGGCATTGACAAGCCTGACAGGAGGTACGACATGGAGTTGGTTGACATCACCGACTGCGCAAAGGGGTTCAACTTCAAACTCTTCGACGATGCGGAGTACGTAGTCGGTATGACCCTCAAGGGCGTGGGTGAATGGCCCACTAAGAAAGTCAAGGAACTTGAGAAGAAAGCGACCGGCCAGGAATGCGGATGTAGCGCCCTCGTCTGGATGAAAATCAACAAGGATGGTTCCTTCGATTGCTCGGCAAAGAAGTTTTTCACGGACGACCAGTACAAAGTGTGGATGGCCAAAGCGGCGGAGAAGCCAGGTGGATGTGGGGCCGGCGATCTTTTCTGTATGTTTTCGGGGCCAAAGCTCAAGACACAAGAAGCCGTGGGCAAATTCCGCCACGTCATGGGCACCGAGCTTGGCCTGCGCAAGGAGGGCTATCGTGCTCTTTGGGTGGTCAATTTCCCCATGCTGGAATGGGATGAGGATGATGAGCGTTTTGTTGCAAAACATCATCCTTTCACTTCGCCATGGACCGACGACATTGAAACGATGACAAGGCTCGACAAGAAGGACCCCAAGCTTGGTGACATCCGTGCCAATGCGTATGACATGGTGATCAATGGGGTTGAAGTAGGTGGCGGTTCGGTGCGAATTTTCAATCGCCCTCTTCAGGAAAAGGTTTTCGAAGTTCTTGGATTCTCTAAGGAGGATGCGCAGGCTCAGTTTGGCTTTCTCATGGGGGCCTTTGAGTATGGCGCGCCACCCCATGCTGGACTTGCTTTTGGTCTTGACAGGTTATGCACAATCCTTGGTGGCAAGACGTCGATCCGTGATTTCATCGCCTTCCCAAAGAACAACATGGGGCGTGACACCATGATCGAGTCCCCCTCGGAGATCACAGATAAGCAGCTCGCGGAGCTTTCTATCGCCACAAAGGTTGCACCTGCAGCAGAGAAGGGTGCAGCTGCTGGCGGCTACCCAGCAGCCGCTTGAGGGCTAGCCTGGACGTTCGGCTTTCGCGAAGCGTCAGCCGATACTCTTCAGGAGAGAACAGAGACTCGAACCCAAGAGGCGAGCTTGTGAGTGCTAGCATGTTGAACCATCCAGTTTTGAAGTATCGAAACTCAGTGTGGAGCATCATATCTGTATGCCATGAGGTCTTTTTTCGGCATATTGTGCGTAACAGCTGTAGAGGCTTCTCTCGCAGGCAAGTACAATGGTATGCGTGCCGATTTCACGCAGGTGTAGGCCTCTCTCTGACACCTCTTGGTGAGACAGTTGCTGGAAGACCAGTGAAAGCATATAGAGAGCATGTGTGTTAGTTTCTCAAGGGCCTGCTGGGAAGCCTCTTGGGGTCTTCTGGGAGCTTCGTAGAGCCCTGAAGTCTGCCTTGGGGGGGGTGGGGGCGGTCTGTCGACGTCTTGGGGGGCTCGGGGGCGTGTGGGATGTCTTGGGGCCGTCTGTGGTGAGTCTCAGGATGCCTCAGGGCAGTCGTCTAGGGATGGTCTGCGGCCGCCCCGCGGCCGTTCCCGGGTGACTTGGGGGCTGTCTCGGGACCGTCTTGGGGACTTTCGCAGGATGACGACTCTCACCGCGGGACGCCCGTCCCAGGCGGAACGCCCTCTGCCGCCTCCCCCCGCCGCGCCTGGGCTCCCGATGCGCCGGCCGCGGCTCTGGGCCCTCGGGGCCTTCTTCGCCGGCGCCCGCGCCACCGCCCAGGGCCCCGTGGCGCCGCGCGCGCTCGCGCCACCGCCCTCCCTGGCCACGCCTGGGCTCCTGGTGCGGCGGCCGGGGCCTTCGGGCTTCAGGGCCGAGGCTGAGATTTGCACGCATCCACCGCCCGGGAAGCCGATCTGCCTGGGCCCGGGTCCTCAGGGAGGCCGTGGCTATGAATGTACTGCGGCCCGCTGGGGCCCAAATCTGCAGTCGGTCCGAGGTGTAAGATCGAGGTCGTTTCGGGGAGGGTGCCCTAGTGTTCTTCGTGTTGGTCGGATGTTCTTGTGCACCCTGGGGGCGGTACCCTTGCAGGTTCTGTTATTTGTGGCCGACGGAGGCTCTCATGTTCTTGAGGAATGCTCTTCTGGCTTGGGTCCGACTGTATCCACATCCACCGCTCCCCTGGGGACCCAGGATGTGGGTTCCCCAGGCGGTGGATCTGGATAGACCCCCGCCTCGCATCAGGGCCCTGCCAGCACCAGTGCCGTCGCCGCCCGCCAGACCTTGCACTCAGGCTCCTGGCGGCGTCTTTGGCCGCCCTGGTCTCTGTTCTTTGATCTGCTCTACAGTCGGACCGAGGCATCAGATCGAGGTCGGTTCGGCGAGGGTACCCTAATGTTCTTCGTGCTTGTTGGACGTTCTAGTGCGTCCTGGGGAGGGTACCTTTGGATGTTCTTTGCCTTGGATATTCTGTGTGTTTTGGCCGACGGAGGGTCCGGTGTTCTTGACGGATGTTCCTCTGGCCTAGGTCCGACTGTATTTTTGGCTACCTGGGCCGTCTTGGGACTATCTTGGGTTCCTGTGGGATCCTTTTGGAACCATCTTTTGTCGTCTTGAGGCTCTCTTGGGCTATCTTGGTGCCTTCTTTGGCCCCTCTCGGTCGACTGGGGAGTCTCTGAGGGTCGTTTGGGAAGCTGCTACCCTGGGCTGTCTGGGGGGCTTCTGCAGGCTCGCTTTGGGCTCAGTTGGCATCTCTTTGACTCCTCTGAGGCCCCCCTGCAACCATCTTGAGCCGAGAGGCCTTGGAAGCGCAACATATCAAATCCCGAAGATTTGAAGCGTTGTTTGAATTATTCGGGCGTTCCTGAAGGGCCTCTTCGGGCCCCGGTGACGCCTCTTGGCTTCTTCGAGGTTATTGGCGCGGCCTTGGTGGCCTTGGTGGCCTCCCTGGACGGTTTTGACAAACCTTGGAAATTTTTGAGGGCCCCATGGAGGCGTCGTGCCGCTCAGCCGTCTTCTAGTTGGGGGGCCAGGGGGTCCAGTGCGCGCAAATAGATGTGATGAGAGGGGGAGTGGGGGACCTTAGAAGAATTGCAACAGAACTGGCAGACAGCACTTGAGATTCTACCATGCCTTAGCGTGCCACGGGGCATGCCAGCGGATAACGACACAGAGCGTTCTTGTGAAATGTCTCGCGCGCGCGCGAGCTCAGGCAATGCGTAATATGATGATTTCGCACGGGTAAGCATTCGACTCGGCAGATGGGCGAGAGATATAATTGATGGTACAGTGTAGCGACAGGCAAGGTCTGGTTCATGGGGAGGGAAAGAGAGGTCGAGATAAAGGGAGAGGGAAGGAATAGACATCGAACAGAGAAGCTGTGAGGAAGGCATAGGCATCGGACAGAGAAGCCGTGAGGAAGATAACTATGCATAGGGGTGTTGGAGTGTCAGAAGAATGGAGGAACGGCCGTGAGGCTTAACGGAGGGCGTGGGCGGATGGAGGGATGGAGGCAGGGAGTGGGCGGAGCGGGGGCGGACAGGGATGTCCTCTCTACCGCTTCATGCGAGCCCAGGGCGGCTCGGATAGAACAGCTCTGGTCGTGAGCGCGTGCCAAGGTCACCCCAAGCGCTGAACATGCATCGGTTTCCGCACAGGTAGCGGACTCCTCTTAGCCCGGCCGCTATGGACAACGACGCCCGCTGCGACACCGTCGTATGTGTCTTCATCTGTAGCCATCTTCTCTCAAGGTGGCACAGAGACTACGGGCTCGACGGTCTGCCGAAAATCGCCATGTGGATATGGCGCCGAAGCTATACACGCGCCTGGCGGTGCTCGAAATCTGTGAGTGGCTCATATTCATGCTCGTGATGGGGTCCATCAGCGAGCGCACTTTCGGGCCTCAATTTGTGTCACTTTGGTTGCTGGCGGTGCTCGCAGCAGCAAGCGTGCTCAGGGCCAGCATCGTTATCCTGGCACCCGACGCCCCAAATCTGTTGCAGGCACCGTTGCTATGGTTGCGACCGACGCTCAACGTTCATGTGGTGCCATGCAGTGCGGAGCCTGTCTCATTATCTCTATTGTTTTGCGCCTGTGGTTCGGCGATCACCCAGTCTGTCATGTCCCTTCTTGTCTGCGCGGCGAGAAGAGAAAACTGGTTCCGGAGCTGCTTGTCGTGTAAACTGGACGGCGCCAATCTTCTTTGCGAACTTTTTGAAGAACTCTGACTGGCGAGGTCGAGCGAAGAATTGCCACCACGCGAAGAAGTTGCAATTGCCTTTGCGGTTCACGGTGTATCGGCAAAGTTCGGGGGATCCACGTGTGCCATTTGTCTGGCGGATTTTCTTCAGACTGTCTACTGGGATTACTTCCGTGCGGCCTCGTGGTGTCTATCCTTCAACGATTGGTTAGGTGACTTTTATCGCTGAACAGGGTTTCATGGCCCACCCCAAGCTTCAAGAGGCTCTTTTGATACCAGCGTGCCTGTGTAAGAGCCGCTGTCCAGCTGGGTTCATGTGGACGGCTCAGGGCCGTCTGAGAGCAATCGGACTCCTTTCAACGTCTCGAACAGGTTCTTTCTAGTTTATTCGCATGTGTTCTTTGCTTATTGCTGGTCGTTTTGATGTGGAACCAGAATTCCAGAATTTCCCAATGTGCATTCTGCTATTCTCTCCTAGAGGCTTGCGCCATTCCAGTAGCCAGCAGCGGGCAATCGTGACGATTCGTCGAGTCTGGGGTGCCCTGGGGGGGCCGACATCAGAGAGGATTGTGAAGAAAGGGGAGATGATGCGGATGAGGAGGAGGAAAGGCAAGAAAGGAGAAAGAGAAGGGGGAGGATAATGATGAGGAGGATGAGATAGGACGCTTGTCCATGTGGACAAAGTCTTGGCAATATAAAATGGAGGAGTTCAGACAACGTCAAACGAGTCGAAGCTCGAGGAGGAGGAGGAGGAGGAGGAGGGGGAGGTGTAGCAAGAGGAGGAGTGAATGATGAACATGCGGAGTATGATGATGGTGAATATGGAAGGTGCTGACGGTGGTGATGGTGATGATGCTGATGATGATGCTGATTGTGTTAATGATTATTATGCTGATGTTGATGGTGATGATGGTGATACGATTATGATGGTTATGATGACGATTATGAGGATGAGAACGATACTGATGAGGAGGAGAAGGACTATGATGAGGAGAAAGAGGATGAGGAAGCGGATGATGATGGGGTGTTGATAATGGTAACGATACCGATGATAATGCTGATGCTGATGGTGATGGCGATTATGATTGTGATGGCAACGACGATGCTGTTACTGATGATGAAGACGATGACGATGACGATGATGACGATGATGCTGATGATGCTGATGAGGATGATAGCGACGATGGTGATGATTATGATGATGATGACGATGTGGATGATAATGATGATTACGATGATGATGATGCTGATTGTGATGGTAATGGTGATGGTGATGATAATGATGATCATGATGATGATGATGATGATTCTGATGATCGTGATGATGCTGATGATGACGATGCTGACGATCATGACAATGATTACGACGACCATGATGATGCCAATTATGCTTATGATGATCGTGATGCTGATGCTGCTGATGATGATGACGATCATGACGATGATGACGATGACGATGATGACGATGATGAGGCTGATGATGGTCATGATGATGATGCTGATGATATTGCGGATGATGCTGATGCTAATGTTGATGATTATGAGGTTGATGATGATTATGATTATGATGCTGATGATGCTGGTGGTGATACTGGTGATGCTGATGATTATGATGACGGTGATGAGGATGATGTTGATGATGTTGATAATGATGGTGATGCTGATGATGCTGCTGCTGATGATGATGCTGATGCTGCTGCTGATCATGATGCTGATGATGATGCTGCTGATGAAGCTGTTTTTGATGATGATGCTGATGCTGATGACGATGGTGATGATGATGCTGATTATGATGCTGATGCTGATGCTGATGCTGACGATGATGTTGCTGCTGATGCTGCTGCTGATGATGCTGCTGCTGATGATGATGATGCTAACGCTGATGATTATGATGCTGATGATGCTGCTGATGATGATGGTGATGATGATGCTGCTGCTGCTGATGATGATGATGATGATGATGGTGATGGTGATGGTGATGGTGATGATGATGCTGATGATGATGATGATGATGATGATGATGATGATGATGATGATGATGATGATGATGATGATGATGATGATGATGATGATGAGAGTGCGTGCACAGTAATGACGACACGGGGGCCGTACAGTGACACGAGTAGGGGGAAGGTAGCAAGAGCGTCGCGTGCCTCGCCCGTCCCGTGCTCATAGCCTTCTGTTGTTCAGGAGGTTCGCCCGCGCCGCCCGCCACCGCCACTCCAGCCCGTGCATGCCAAAGTGGCTCGCGGACGCTGTGCTGGAGGCTGCGCAGGAGACGCTGCGTGCGGCGGGCACCGCGAGCCTGGTGTGGGCTGGGCAGACCGCGCAGGTGTGCCCCGACTGCACCTGCAATCCCAGCCTGGCGTGCCCTGCCCTGCAGTGCCCGCCCTGCACGCTCGGGGGCGCGGCCTGCCCGAGCTGCCCGGAGGTCAGCTGCCCGAGGGCGGCGCCCGACCTCAGCAGGTGGTGGATCGTCGCGGTGGTGGTCGCGGGCCTCTTCGGGCTGGCGACGGGCTGCTGCGCAGGGGCCTTGTTCGGCTCGGGGCTACGCCGGGCAGTGCATGGCCGAGTCGAGGCCGATCGCTCCAGGTCGCTTGATTCTGGTGTGGTACGGGGGCGGGGAGGCGTACTGGCACGAGCGCCTCCTGCTCTGCAAGGTGCGGGGAACGACCTGGGTCATCGTCACTCCTGATGGCGACGTCTATCCAGAGGACATCCGTGCCCTCGGGGGCACTCCCTGCCTGCAAGGGTCTGTGCCGCCAGCGATCCCCGCCAACGCTCTGCTGTACAGGTTCCCGCCGCTTGGCCAGCTGTACACGGCGGCGGAGTGGCGTCAGGTCTTCGACGACGGGATCGCGACCGCACAGATGGAGAGGGCGGGGCTGGGCATCGACGACGACGCTGCTGATGCTGAATCTGGTGCTGTGCGTGACCGGGTGGGTCAACATGGCTGGATCGCCGGGACAGGCCTGCCGGCTGGACCGCCGCCAGCTGGAGCCGGCCCCGGGTTGGGGGCTCTGGTGGCAGACGTGGGCGCCGACGGCCAGGCCGCCCCGCCTGCTGTGCCGCTCGCCGCCGTGGGTGGGGGCGCCGCCATCCCAGGGGCTGGAGCAGCCATGGGGGCAGTGGGGGCGCCCGGAGGCGGTCCCGCCCCTGGCATGCAGTGGATCGTGGTGGCGAACGACGGCCAGCCGGGGGCTCCCTCCATCGGGTCCGACTGGAGCGTGGACGCCACGGCCAGTGTCATGGGCAAGTTCGCGCTGGTCAGGCTTGGGACGGCCACCCTCGTGCTGGAGAACATCGCGGTCGGCAACAAGAGGAATGTGCTGGTCTCGAGGAAGGGCGAGCTCGAGCAGGCGGTGGACCGAGCTTTTGGGCACGGGCTGCCTGGAGCTGGCCCCGGAGCTCAAGCGGGTGGAGACGGGCCGGCGGCTGCAGTGCCGCTCAAATCGGCTGACGCTCGAGTACTGCCCGTGCTGTGCGACCAGACGGGCCAGAGGTTCAGGGCCTACACCAATGCCGTCGGGCTGCTGGAGGAGCCACGGTTCGACGACTTCCCGGTGGTTGGCCCAAGAACGACTCTCTGGCTGTGCAAGTTCATCAGAGATCAGGGGAACGTACCCCGCACCAGGACAGAAAAGTGGATGCGAGACGCACGCGTGCCGGACAACGACAGAGTCAAGCACGAGCATGGCAGTCTCATGGAGATTCTTGAGACAGCGCTCACCTACGACCAGCTGGACGTGTCTGCCCTCGCCTCTTTCGAGATACTGTCGAGGAGGATTCAGCTGCTGGAGGAGGCGTACACGTCCAACCCGAAGGCGCCGCGGTTCGAGGGGAGCGAGCACTTCCAGGGCCTTGGCAGGAAAGTCGCGGCCGTGGCGCCGCTCCTCACCTCGCACGTGGCGTTGCAGCTCCAAGGCGAGGCTGCGATCCAGAAGGAACGACGCAAGGCCCGTGAGGAGGCGGCCCTTGCGAAGAAGGGCTAGCCGCCCCGCGGTATTTCGATTTTCGTGGCCCAGCTTGGGCCGCCTCCTAGTTGCTGTCTTCTGCGAGGGCTGCGACGAGTTTTTGACCATGGCATGGCGGGCGGTCGACAGCTTGACCTTCTACCCCTGCCTCGACTTCGTGATTGGGAAGGCCCTCGTAGCTCACTCAGTCGTGGCGTTCAAGAACGTATCTGCCGGCGTGCTTGGATCGACAGGCGTACCGACGATAATTTTTTGGGGTCTCAACGTGCGCGGGGGCTTCGGTGACAAGTCGCCCAGCGGTCCTGGTGGTGAGCAGGCCCGTGCTGCTGCTGACCGGGCTCGTGAAGCGGTTGAAGCTGTGCCCAGGCCTAAGGAGAGACCCGCCCCGCAAGAAGCCCTCGCGGCGCTTCTGCGTGCAGACGCCCGCTATGGTGACAGCGAGTGTGCCGGGAACATTGCACCGTTTGGCTCGGCTTTAGTACCTCCGCCGAGTCGCGACCTGCACGGGGTGGACATCTACCACGTTCTGCCCTTGGACGCGTCGCACAAGTTTAAGCGGTTTCGCGACACCATCCTTCTCAGTGACGAGGAGTGTGCATTGCGTATCAAGAGCGAGGGGCTGCCCAATCCTTACTTTGACCCAGTGCTGGAGGCACATCCTGCGAGGTGGGAGGGTTTTTTTCGGGATCTGCGTGACAGGCTACTGGGGCGCTGGACTCGAACCTACGAAGAAAGGGTGGTACTGTTCTTTGTTCATAAAAAGAGTGGTGAATTACGACTTATATGTGATGCACGAGGGACCAACATACTATTTGACATCCCAGACTCAATACATCTTGCTACTGGCAACTCGCTCAGCCGTCTTCAGGGCGCATCCGACCAGATCATCTTTCTGGCCAGCCTTGATATCAAGGACTACCTACACGAGCTCAGGATCGATGAGGAACTCCCTCAATACCTTGGTCTACCAGCAGTCCGTGCCGCGGCTGTGGGGGTGGAGAGCATCAATGATATCAAGGTTGGTCCCAGCGAGCTCTTCTACCCGGCTCTGCAGCCACTACCGATGGGCTTCTCGTGGGCAGTGAGGGTGGCCCAACTCGTCCATGAGGGCGCCTGCGGCAGGCTGGTCTCCCTCCAGCTCGGCTTCTTCGTGACTGCATACCTACTCCCTCGCCTAAGGGGGGGCCGGTTCAGCTGACATGCATCGACAACCTCGGGGGCCTCGGCTGTGACAAGGCCGAGGCTGAGACCAAGCATCGTCAGGCTCTCGAAGGCATTCGGCGCGCAGGTTTTCTCGTGCATGAGATCGAGCAGGTCGGCACCTCTTTGGGCATCGTGGGAGAGCACCTGGATGGGGGCAAGAAGGTGGTCAGAGTATCCCCCGCCAGAGCGTGGCAACTGCACTCGGGGCTGCATGCTCGTGCACGAGGCGGGCGCTGCACTGGGAAGGAGATGCGAGCCGCACTTGGGCACCTCGGCTTCGCTTGTTTGCTTCGGCGCCCTTATCTGTCCTGCATCGCGGCCTCCCCTGCCTTTGCCGAGGCCGTTGGAGGGGGGCCAAGGAACCTCTGGCGAAGCGTCAGGAGGGGGCGCCTCATCGCCGCTGCCCTCCTGCCGCTGGTCTACGCCGACATCGGGGCGGGCTGGCTCGACCAGGTGGTGGCGGCGGATGCTTGCCATGCTGGGCTTGGCGCCTGTGCTGCTGAGTGGGGCTCTCCAGATATACGAGTCACGGGCAGCTGCGACGAGCGCTGGGGGATCAGGAAGAAGGCGAGGGGCGCCAAGCTCGGGTTCAAGCACGTGGCTCGATTCGGGCGCAGGCGGCACAGCAAGGCGCTCATGCTGGTGGACAATATGTCACTCACGCTGGCCATGCAGAAGTGCCGGTGTCGCGATCCAGCCCTCGTGGGCCAGCTTCGTCAGATGACAGCGCTGCAGCTCGCCACTGGGCTGCGGGTATGGTGCCGCTGGGTCCCGTCCGAGGTTAATCCTGCTGATCGACCCTCGCGGCTCTGGGAACCTGCAGCGGCTGCTCTGGGCCATGCATGGCGTCCTCCTCCTGGGCTGCCCCATCTTGATGACGGGCGTGGCGTCGAGGGTGCATGCAACGAGGCGCAGAGTGGCGACAGGCATTGCGACGCGCAACGTGACGCAGCGGGTCGAGGCAGGGCCAGCGATGCATCTGGATCTTCCCGACCTTCGAGTGCGCGGAGCTGTGCCACTGGGAGACGGGCAGTCGCCTCAGGCTTCGCTGTGAGGCCCATCCAGGTCGAGGACTACCACAGGCGGATCGAGGAGTTCTACGGGTACTCCCGCCGCCAGGGCCTCGACGTCAGCACCCTGGACTCGCTGGTGACAACCCTCCTGGACTGGGCGGACTGGGCTGAAGGGGTCGCTGATCCAGGGGCCTGCGGACAGCAGCGAAGGCTCCACCAAGACGGGCGTCTACGACGACAACGTGACGATAAACCACGAGAACCTGCAGTTCCTCGGCCTCTTCTTCAAGCTGTACCGCCAGGGGAAGGGGGCGAGCGTCTCGCTGTGGGGCCTGACGCAGGCGGAACTCGGGGCCATGGTCGCGAAGGCGCTGAAGGTGTGCCGGCACGAGGGCCAGGGGATCGTCCCCTACGACCTTCGGCACGCAGGCCAGTCGTGGGCGTCATCACGGGCAGGAGATCTCGGTTGAAGGTCCAGCGTCGCGGGCGCTGGGCCAGCATGCGCTCTCGCACCAGGCGCGGGAAGTCCAGCAAGGTCGACTTCCTGCTCGAGGGGCTAGACGACAGCGTCCAGGAGTACCTCTGGCTCTGCACGGCGCACCTTGGAGACTTCCTCCTTGGGGCGGTGAGCGCGCCCCGAGCGCCTGCGTGGAGCGAGGCGACCCTTTCCTCAACATCTTTGCTGGTTCCAAGGGGGTCGGCAGGACGGTGGCGATGTGTGGCATCTCGTCGCCAGAGATGCAGCTCGAACCTGAGATCGACATTTTTGCGCCTGGAATAATAAAGGCACTTCTGAAGTTGATAAGCTCGGGCAGCGTGCAGGGAATATTCGTGGCTACGCCATGCCGCTCATTCAATGTCGCTAGAGTGCTGTTCGTTCTCCTGTGTACCGTTCATGATCAAGAGCCCCTCCTCTGCTATGCTCTGGTTCGTCCAGTTTTGGAAGCACATCGCAGGATCCAAGTTCGCTGAGTCTGTTGTTTTCGACCTGGGCCAGTTCGGGACTGACTTCAGGAAGCGGACCACCATCTTGTATCCTCAGATCCCGACAACTCCTTCTTGATCCGAAGATGTATGGGCAATTCAATATGTCCTCTAGGTCAGGAAAACCACATGACATCTTGAAGGTAAAAAGAAAATGCTGGATGGAAGACCGACCGTGCTAAACATTACTCACCTCGTCTCTGCACTGCTATCGCATGCGCCTTCAGACTCCTGTGGGCCCAGTTGCACGTTGCGAGTTCGGTGGCACGGACGACCACCCCTCCAGGATCGGCCTCTCCCTCCCGTACCCGCCCGAAGCCAACACATCTCTGATATTCGGGACCTCTTGATGGTGATTGGGGACATAGAGCAGTATAATTCTATGCTGATTGGTGGCAAGCCTGTGATGAATCGCTTTGGGATATCATTCTATTGGCCGAGTAAATCGTCATGAGAGTGCGTGCACAGTAATGACGACACGGGGGCCGTACAGTGACACGAGTAGGGGGAAGGTAGCAAGAGCGTCGCGTGCCTCGCCCGTCCCGTGCTCATAGCCTTCTGTTGTTCCCGACCCGACCCGCCCTGGGACATAGAGCAGTAGAATTCTATGCTGATTGGTGGCAAGCCTGTGATGAATCGCTTTGGGATATCATTCTATTGGCCGAGTAAATCGTCATGATGATGATGATGATGATGATGATGATGATGATGATGATGATGATGATGATGATGATGATGATGATGGTGATGATGATGATGATGGTTCTGATGGGAAGGAGGAGGAGGATAATGACGAGGAGGAGGAGGAACGGAGGAAGAGGGGAGGGATGCGAGGGGTTGGGAGGGCATGGACATCCAGAGGCCGACCGTGGTCTCCCGCATGGTTGCTGCCAGCGATGGGTCCTGGAGCGTGCAGGCCTTCGCTCGAGGCGTCTTGGGGGCCTCTGTGGCCGTCTGAAGGGCATCTCGGGCGTGTTGGGGCGCCTTTTGTGCCGACTTTGGAGACCTCTCGGGCCGTCCTGTGGACCTCTTGGAGACGCGGGCGCCCCGTGGGCGCCCTGGTGGCGCCCTGTGGGCCAGTGCCGCGGGGCGCCTCCCACATCACGCGGCCCGCCCCAAACATCACCTGAGCAGCCCCACGATCTGTAGGAGACGGACTCCGCCAGAAATGCTCTAAGAACATTTCGTGGAAACCTCAAAAAGGTTCTTAGAACATTTTTTCGTAGGACTATAGGCGAGCCAGGACGCTTCGACACTGCTTGGTACTTGACCTCTGGCGCAGGAGGCGTTGAAACTGGACGGTCGGACCTGGGACATAATAACATCTTCCCATCACGTTGGGCCCTTGGGCCCCCGGCAAAGTCTTATTTAATCGCTTCGCTCATTCCGCCGGCCCATACAGTCTCATGTCTGCCGTTTGCCCGAGGGCCTGGTGTCAATGCGGCGCTTTGGGGGTTCCTGGGGCCGCTTGGGGGACTCCTGGGGCGCTCGGGGGGGCATTTGGGGGGCCTCCTGGGGCCGCTTGGGGGACTCTTGGGGGCCTCCTGAGGGCCCCGTGGGGGCCTCTTGGGGCCTCTTAGGGGCCTCGTAGGGGCTTCTTAGGGCCGAGGGCTCGAAATGTTGTTTCGTGTTCCCTCTCTGGGGCCCCTTTGGGGGCGTTCTTGGGGCCCTCTTGGACCGTTTTGGAGGCTTCTTGGGCCGTCTTCGAGCCCTCTTGGGCCATCTTGGGGCCCTCTTGGGTGCCTCTTGGGCCCTCTTGGGGCGATCTTGGGGGCCTCTTGGGCCGTCTTGGGGCGTCGGGAAGCCGAAAAGGTGGAA